AAATTTCAAGAAAAAGTTAATAGTACTAAATCATTGTCTGAGAGAAATCTTTTGTGCAAATATGTATCCATATATACAAACAAAAATGGTGTGATCTATATCATAATGCATTAAACAAGACTGTAAGAAGTACAGTTCTATATGGTTTGTTTAAAATGTTGTATGTTTTTCTTCATACTACAACATGCATTGTTTTTTCTGAAATTAGAATTAAATACAGTCTCATGTTTCATGCCAGTAACTGAAGATATTATTCTTATATTTTACAATCTCAAACCTGTATCAAGATTCTTTCTCAAATATCATTTCAGTAAAATAGACTTCAAATTTTGTCTTGAATTTCACCAACATATAACCACAAACAAATCATAGTTTCGAAGCTAGAACGAGCATCAAAATAAATCCCATGTAAAATTGAATTTTAAATTCAAACCCAGTCTCAAATCTCAAATTAATATCAAATTAATTCCATTATCTCTGAACAATATAAAATGATAATTAATAATTTTATTCAAATCATGTATTAGCTGATTATCTCATAACTAGACAGATGGTAAAACAAGAGTTTAGTCAATTACATCAAGATGATTCATTGTATAAATTATGATATTCTATTCTCTAGTTTTCAAGATTTATTATCTCACAATATTTTCTCTTATTAATCATACTTTTGATGGGTTTGGGTTCTTGTGGGTTAAAGGAGCATTATTGGAAGAATGCAACACAAAAATGAAATAAACCAATTCATGAAGAAGAGTACCATGAACAGTTTTAGAGGGAAGTTAAATATGTCTGAGCACTTGGATAAAAAAAGAGTTACTTTTTGGGCTTTCTACTTATTTAATTTGCAATTTCTGCTTATTTATTTTGTAATTTAACTTAATCTGATCGAAAATTCACCACTAAGATAAATGAAGAGCATGTTAAAAAGTTGTTAGGATGCGATCTTGGATCAGATAATACCATATTAAGAATTGTAGGCCTACAGTCCCTTTTTAGGACTTGGACAGAAACAATGGAAGTCAAATGTCACATTATCCTCAAATCTATACTGAAAAGAAAAACAGACTACAGTTGAAGAATCTGAATATAAAACTGGCCTTCGGACAAAAAGTAAGAGCTCTACTTTATAATTGAAAACATTTTGGTTCTGTGCAAGATGTATTTGGTATATTTCCCAGATGTTAGGTAACATTAAAATTTCTTTTAATACACATGTTGAAGTATGGTTTCTTAGGATAGTTTATCTGAACACATTGCCTGTATTTGATACACAGCAATTGTTCACTTATATATTAGATAGAGCCATGTATTTCTCATAAAAAAAATTTGACTGGTACGGTTTCTTATATAACAAAAAGTAATGATATTCAGCTCATGAAAAGAAATCCAGAATCGTGATTTAAATAAAATTTAATGTGATTTGTATTAAAAAGATCTAGAGATAAAAAAGTGTATGCAGAGGGGTTTTCCCTTCAAATTATGTTGTACATTCTTGTTCTATACAATACAAAAACCAAGTACCAACGATCTGAAATCGAAAACAACCTCTTGGCGAAACATTGGTAACAGCTAATGAACTTTTTATGTAAGGAAGTAAACTTTTCATAAGTGAGTATTACTAAGTATTTCATGGACAAAATTTGGTATACATGTTACAGATCTGAGCTCCCATGATTTTTAAGTTTCATTATCAGAAACCAACTTCAGATTAAACATTTTGGTAACGAAGTATCCTTTGAAATAATAATTGTGTTAATTTTCTACGATTTTATCAATATTGCTTATCTTTTGTACTTGATGCCATGAGAAGGCATGTGTTCTTATTATATACATATTAAACCTATTATTTCATTCAGATAAAAAATATATGCTAATAATCCATAACTTGTATTTGTCAAGATAAAAAGTTGAAAACCAGAAAATAGTAGATGGTAAAAGTGATAGTTCTTGACATGCATCAGATCACCCCAAACTTGTTACTTAAAATTTCAAGGTAGATGTTATTTCCTGTAAATTCCAACAGACAGGATATTCTCAATCTCCTGAACCACCATAGGATGTCAAATGGTGAAAAGAGTCTACTTAGCAAAAAATGTTTATCATTACATGGATATACTGAGATCATAGAATTAATTTGATAATTTTCAGAATTTCTATAAATATTTGAATCATTTTTATTGTTTCAATATTTTATACATAATACTAAATAGTCCTACAGATGTTATGTCAGACATTGGCAAATATTTCCTCCCTCTTTTTCTTTTAAATTTTGAGTTGGTGCCAGGTATTTCTCTGCAACGATATGATTTAAAGTTTACGTTAGAATCACTATATTGTACTTCCTGTTATTATTGTGTAACAGGTATGAATACAAGTAATTTAACATGTTGCCGATTCCTGAAAATATAGACTACTATTTGGTCATTTCAGTGAACCCAGCACAGCTCTTTGGCACCCGTCTTCGTAGACTCTATACTGCCTCACTCAGAGATACTGGAATGGCTAGCTGCCTGAGAGCGTCACATTCTCTGATCCAATCAAGATTTGGGTTTTACAAGAACCAGTAAATAAAGGTGTTTTTTGGTCAAGCAGTATTCTTGCCAACCAAAAATTTACTTTCTACACATTTGTTCAGTTCCTGTTACTAACATTTGCATATTATTTATTAATAATGGTGACCAAATGTTTTCTGGAAACAGTTATATTAAAGAAGAACCTAATCGCAGGGCAGTTTCATGAAAACTTGTTGATGCACTTGTTTTGAAGTAGAGTTTGCATTAAATGCACAGTATGATCTGGATGGGATGAAAACAGCACCTTGGAGAAAATTCACAAATATTTCAAGAGATATGGCCTTACCTTACAAAAACAGGGAGTGAGAGCCAACTCTCCCAGAATGACTGTTTTCTGGATGGCGAAAGATTCAACACAGATGACAGTTGAACTGGCAAGCCACGGAGCCATCCCATAAGGTTTATTTAGACTAAATAGTAGACTAACTGAATGAAGTGTATCTAAACACAGGTATAAAGTGTTATCATAATAAATACACAACCTGATTTCTAACAGATGATAAAAACTACTGCAAACAAAATAATGGTACCAATTACAAATTATATTTCAAGTGTGTTTACTATTTGATTCTAATATTCTATTCAAGTCTAATTTATTAGTTATTTTATCATGCTTGTATAGACATTGATGGTGCTTTTAAGAAGGAAATTAAGTTCAGCTTGGACCCATGTATCCCAGGTATAAGAATTGCTGACACAAGTACCCCTAGTGACGTATTAAGGTTGTCAATTTTTAACCGTCTTAATTGAATG